GAATGCCCATAAAGATGAGATGCTATCCTGCAGTACAAGAACCTTGGGCTGATGGAAAATGATCAGTATGAGAAATGGACCTAAAAGCAAGGATTAGTATTAACACAGCCTGCCAAGCTGCTACATGGTGCATCAACATTTTGGTTTGTTCTTTTACTAGCAAAGACTTAGTTTGCCTAGATTAATATTAAACTTCATATGCTACAGAGTATAAAAGCACAGATGTAATGAACTATTTGGATATCAAAAAACGGGTTTGCAATAAAGGTGAACACATGTAGTATTTTTTAACCCTGACAGTTTGTTAAAACTTAGAAATCTTTTGTGTGTTTATGGGTACTAACACTATTTCAATGCACAGAAAGTGTAAGCATCTGCTTAAGGAAATCTGAATGCTTTACTTAACATTATTTATTCTACAACATTTCTGTGTCACTGTAAGTGTTTAAACTACAGATATTTCATTCTCAAGCTGTGAGATTTGTTTATCAGTATTACAGATGCAAGCTTACCTTGCTTAACATATCCCTTTCCCTCACAAGCTCATCTATAGCTTTCTTGTCAATCTCCGCCTGCTTTTTGGCAGCCTCCAACTCTAGAGAAAAGGAGGAAAGAGAATAAATCATGGATTCAAACTGTACAGTTGCTAAAAATGCAGAAACAACTTAGGGGACTTTTTAAAAAGCCTTAACATTACATGAACAGTTCAATTAGCTGTGACCAGGTTTTGCAACCTCAGGTATCAGCTAAAGATGTTAATACTTATTTGGATACTAAGAAGAACTTAGAAGAACTCAGGCACAGTAATGGTATGAGGACTTACTGTATTTGAGTGTTCAAACCAAGATACCACAAAGAAGTTTTATTTTCAGAAATCATGGAGCACACTGAAAATCATAGCCTTTTAAGAAGCTTCAGTGTGAGCATCCAAAAACTGAGGTACTTTCAAAACCAGGGACTTTCAGAATTATTCTAATCCCTCTATGTGAAATCCAGATCTCCTTTGGAGCAGTAACATTCTACCAGCTTTAGTGGACTTAAAACTACTTGTTGTGGGTCTGGATGAACACTGGATATATACTATTAAAAAGATACTAAAAATTGAAGAGACATGTATTTTCACTATATATTAAAATTAATTAAAACCTGCTACACTAGCACTGCAACTCAGGAAATGCAGTACATTGGAGTGCTAAGATATATATGTCAAACATTGCAAAAAGACATGTTATTAGTAGCGATACTCAGGCATTCCAGTACAGATCTGAATTTCCCAAGTTCCTCTCTCCTTTCTAGTAAAGAGCATGACCTTAAGCAGTGCTAGCAAAATTCTTGTGGGAAAGCTCTTCCACCCTCACAGAGATGCATGAAAAACAGACACAACTTTCCATAAATGCAGTTATATGGAAGGATTCATATCTCATACATGCAGTCTCTTCAGGACACAAGCTAGAAAAAAGGGAGAGCAGGGACAGGTATTTATGCCAGTATATATCAAGTTGAACTAGATGAAGTTTCTAGCAAAGTGGTTTTTTTCTGCCCCAAAAAGTGAAGTCTCATCAACTCAAATGTTTTGCCAAATTCATAATATTAGTTTAGCCAAAAAAAAAAAAAAAATCATAAAACTGTTTTTTCTGAAATCACTTTGAAAATGTGTATTTTTATTTCAAAGCATATTTTATTTTGAAATCTATTTGCATTTTAAAGTAAAAAAAAAAAAAAGAAAGTGGTTTTAAATGCTAAAAAATACCCCAAAAGTTGTTTTTTAAAGTTAAAGAAAATATTTTATTAGACCTAAGGCATTTTCTTCCAAAATTTCCATTTGGCAAAAATGTTGAAAGTTCCTTCTTAAAGTTTTCCAGATCTGCTAGCAAGTCAAAGTCAATACTTGGACAGCTCTAGTATCCACGCTGACCACTGAAGTCCTAAACATACCAGAACTAAGTTTATCAGCTCATTTGCACATATTCATTTCCAGGCTATAACTATTCAGCAGAATCACAGCAGGAAAAAAAGTGTGTCTGAACCATGTCTGATTTCAGTAAGCACTGAGATTGCTTCTCTCTCACAAGTCAGTGCAGGAGCAATGAAGGTGCATTGGGGATGACTCTCTATGTGACATGGCACAAATTGGCATACCACAAAGTTGAGTTACGTCTGTTATAATTTCACCCCATGTATGCTACATTATGAAAATTCTGTAATCTTACAAGGTTTTTAAAATGCTGCTGTAGATTCCAACTGTCATTTATACAGTCTCATACTAGACACTAAAGGAAAACGATCCCCACAAGAGGATGTACCCTGAATGAATAAATTATGAATCAGAAGACAGATCCATCCATCAGTTAGGCACCTACCTCTCTCCAGTCCAGATATTTGATTTTTCAGGGTGTTTCTCTCATGTCCTGCATCGACTTTTTGCTCCTCTGCAACACGCAGCTTATTCTGGAGAACATCTCTTACTTTATTCAGCTTTGAAATTTCAAGGCGCATCTGAGTCACTTCTTCATCTCTGGCCTACAGAACAGCAACAAGGAAAGAGGAGAGAAAGTATCCACAGAACGAAAATGCCTCTGTACTTGGTATATACTTATTCCATGAAATTCAGGAAGCAAAGGGTAAGTGCTGTGAGTCGCCTGAGAAAAGATAATTAGCTAATTGAACAATATTAAAAATAATTTAAACAAAGCCAGCTAGGGCAAGGAAAATGTTAATCAAATCTTATGCTTTAGGGCTGAAGATGATCAATAAAGAATCCCCAGCTGCAAACCTCACACAGCACTACCCAATTAGACCTGCAGATTAAACACGGGCTCTAATTTCCTTTGAAGTATTAGGGACAGTGACTGTGATGAGAAAGATGTCTGTAGTGCGGTCTGGTTGCATGTCCCTAATAGCAGGTATCTGTTATCCCCATCTCTTTTATAACCTATGGCTTTAAAGAAAAAGCAAAATGTAGAGTTCATCTCATTTGCTATACAATCAGAGGAGAAAATAATCTATGAAAACACTGCATAAAAATTAAGGAACTGATTACCAGGAAACATAACCAATAATCACAACAGAAATTTGTCTCTTTCCTTTTAAGAAGTAAATATAACTCCCTCGTATAATTGAGTGCCACTGTTAGGTTTTACAGCCATCACAGACTACAGTGTTCCGCTTACAGCCTCAGATACTGATTCTGTAAGATGGTGAATCCTGCTATACGAGTATCCTCTGGGAAGATGTGAATCTCCTCAATTCTTACTGACAACAGCCTTCAAGAGATTTATGAATGCTTTCACAGTTCAGGTTGCCCAACACCATAGTGGAGGCACTCAGCACACTGCAGGATGAAACTGCAAGCATAGTGCCTATAAAAAAGGCATCTCAGATCATGACTGCGGCTCTTAGAAGCTTTAGCAATTGGCTTAATTACTAACTGGGCAGTATCTTCTATTTTTTTATTCCCAGAAGTCCGTGTGCATGACTCTACAAGTTCCATCAACTTTTGTTGAAGTTAGGATAAGATCATAGAATCAAAATCCTCCTTTTGACACTCTAGCGCCCCAAATGTAAGTCACATTTGAACACATTGTTTGTAAAGTTTTAAACAGTGATGGTACTGCTACAAGTAATGATAAAACCAGATGATAACCTGGAAAAGACAGTAATTTGTTTCTCAAATAGGTAAGAAAAATATCCTCCAGTCTGCCTAACAAAATACAACAGATAACAAGCTCCTACCATATAGCCCATTAAGGATCCAAATCAGAATCTTCTGTGTTATATTAGTTATGAAATGAGCTTTTAATCTGTCAATGGTTAGTTTTTATCATTCTAACTAACAGTTCCCATTTAAAAAAAAAAAAAAGCTCTCTACTGGGAAACCTTTTTATTTAAGCGAATTTGTTATACTTGACTAAACCTTGATAAGATAATAATTTTCTACCTGAATTTTAGTGTTTTAACCCCAATGATGATACAAAATGCAAGATATGGTAGACAGAGTAATAACATCTAACACTTATACATTACCCTTTATCACAAATGCTCTCAAAGTACCCTAAAAAGCATATGCAGGAATCATTTAATCCTTCCCCAGCTGAAACTCACCTGCTTCTCAGTGGTACAAAACAACTGTTAAACAATGTAAAGTCAGGAAAGAAAACCATTTAGATCAGAAAGTAAACACCATCTTGGTTACTTATATTTAACTTCCCCCCAATACTGTAGGGGGAAAATTTTAGTGTTGGAAGCAACTCCCTTCAGTGGAAGCTATCCCAGACACTGTCGTTATAATTTATTAACATTTTTCAATGGGTTTTGGCAACATTCTGATTATGTTAATCCCTGTAAGAAAGTCATTGCTCTTATCTGAAGATCTCACAATCGAAAAAAGACCTTATGCTTTTCAAAAGTACCATGCTTTATGAACACAACATGTTGAGCATTTTGATTTATGTGTTTTATGAAATACAGCTCTTCCAGCAGGACAGGTGCTACGCTGCTGAGTGATAGGGTTGGAGACTGCACCATGTACTGTTACAGAAAGAATGGCATCCAGTGACAGCCAGATCTATTCCTAAAAACTCCTCAGATTTCCCACAAAACTACCCATAGGGAACTATCAGTACAAGAACTGAGGTCATCCCTGTCCCAAGTGGTAAGACTGCTGTCAGAGTGATACAGCTGATAGGATGCATGCACCTTTTGGTACTTACTTTCAGTTCTGCTGTCTTCTGCTGGATGTCCTGCATCACTTCTTCAAACATCACACTGTGCTGCTCGCTCTCTTGCATGAGCTTATCATTTCTCATCTGACATTGCTCAAGTTCCTTACCAGCTCTTTCATTCAAGATCTGTTAGATTAAAGAACAATCCTATTAATTCTTTTTAATCTCATTACAATATCTACATATACATGAAGGCAGAACCTTCCATCTTCCCAGGAGACAAAAGCTGCTACAGATTGTTGTCTGCTTAAAAACCACTCTTTATTGCTAATGAAATTACTAATGTGAAATATGATACACGTTCATATTGGCTAGGGGAAATGGTAATAACACAGCCAGTGTCATTTTTTTTCTGGGAGCCTAGCAGGTCTCTCTTGCAGGTGGTAGATAAATATTTTATTACTTGTTAGGCATTTGGCAATCATCATATAACACAACAACTTGCTACATATAATTACTGAAAATTAGTATGAGATTCAAATTACTTCAATCAGCAGAGGGCAGGGGAGCTCTGTTTCTTAGCAAGCAAATCCTACATTAATATGTTGATAACATTTCTCTGGGTACATGGTTTGCTGGGACCAGGACACAACCATTTTCCTCTCTAACTTGTCTTCAGTCAAAAGCCCGGAACAGCAGTTTCACGGTTTCTATGGAGAATATATACTTCAATACTGGAGCTGCCAGTCTTTTCTTCTGCTTGATGGGACTTCCCCTAACATAATACTCCATAAGCGAGGGAAGAACAATCATCATATTTTTCACTTCAAGCATTAATGTGTGATAAACTGTTGAAGTCAATATGTACTATGCCCTTAACAAACATCAAAAGAAGAGAAGTGGAATCTCCCTCTTCTGAATGCATGCAGAAGAAAAGACAATGTAAAAACAAGGAATACTGTTTCTTGTGTTGCAAATGTCAGGATAACACTGTTTCAGGTGATTCTTTACTGAGACTTGGACATGGGTGGGATGAAGCCTATAGTAGCTGTATCAAACCATCTTCACTGTCATGCAAGCAAGGATATTTTACTAGAAATTTCCGTGGAATAAGAGCAGGCATCACAGCCAGCTACAATTCAGCTGAGAAACAATAACCCAATGACATTGCAATAGCTGAGTCACCTTTTCTTGCAGATGTGTACTCTGACTCTTGCACAGTTGGATACCCTGTGTTTTGGACAGACTTTTTGCAAAAGACAATGCAGGGCCTCCACAGACACCTTCAAGCCAGCACAGGCAACAAAGACAGTGCAGTAGTCTGGTTAATTAGCCTAGGCACAGCACTTTATGTGAACTATTGGTTTACAGTATAGTTTGGACAATTGAATGCCCCTAAAATCTGCACTTAGAAAGGTTGAAAGGGACCATAGAAAGAAGGAGGAAGAATGGAAAGAACCAGGAATTGTAGATATCCTATTTAAAAATAATGTGATTGTCCTGGCAGATCATGGAGCTGCCCTCAAAAGCTGCATCAAATCAGTGATTTGCAGTGATTCAGAGAAATAATCAAGTCTTTTCTGTATCTCTTTATGTGAAGTATTTTACTAAGACTCTATGTTGACAAAAAATTGTCACAGACCTGTACCTTCACAAATTCAGGGACCTGAAGGGAAGAAAAAGCTGTAAAAGTCATAAATTTACAAGATACACACAACTCCCAAAGAAGTTTCCCTTGAGGTAGGACTGTTTTACAGTGATGAGATCTCCCCTGCCATTGCTGAAATTGCTTCTCTGAGAGTTTCTCAAAGTCAGGACAAATGGACTGAAAACCTGAAAATTCAAACACTCGCCGAACACTATGTTAGGACATTTCCAGATAAAGTTTTTAGAAACGGAATAGGGAAAATCAATCAAAAAGGTTTACGAAGACAGTTCTCTGCCCTTTCACAGAAACTCTTCCACAAGCTTGAGAGGTACATAAAAATTACTGTGACAGAGAAGAAAGAAGGGGTCGGAGGAAAAGTGACTTTACCAATGCCACTATAGTGAATCAGTGGCAAAACTGGCAATACACGTCAGAAGTCCAACCTGATAGTCTCCTGTTACTATCATTAGATCATCCATGCTCTTCACAGACTGTCTCATTTGCTGTGATCTTTTCAAGATGATCTCTAATAATATCACTGTGATCTGCCACTGATTTCTGTGAGGAAATCTATCTGAAATCTGTCAACAAGCTTTACATATTTATTTACTAGTAAAGTAATATTTATATAAAAATA